AAAAAAAAAAAAAAAAAAAAAAAGGAAACAATTAAATTTATCCACCACCTCCTCCTTGTTTATGATTCTCCTATTTATATGCCCTTCGCTGATTTTACCATTCTGACTTCCGCCTCGCCTGGATCTCTCCCTTCTTATTTTCCTTGGTTTCCCCCTTCCTCCCCGCATCGAATTCTATGGCTGACCAGCTTACCGACGATCAGATCTCCGAGTTCAAGGAGGCCTTCAGTTTGTTCGACAAGGACGGCGATGGTCTGCTTCTTTCAGATCCCTTCTCCATTTCGCCTCCTTCTTTATCTTTTAATGATGCATGACCCCCCCCCCCCCCCCCCCCCCCCCCCCCCCCCCCCCCCCCCCCCCNCCCCCCCCCCCCCCCATTTTAGATCTATTTTTGTGCTCCTGGAATTCTTATATATCGCCGTTGCTATCTATCATACCTCTTTGGATATCGTAGCTTTTTTTTTTTTTTTTTTTTTGCCGTTGATTGTGTTTTGCGAGGATTATAATAATGTTTCGTTTTGTTCTTTCCATGTGTTTTTTTTTTTTATTTCGTGTTCCTGGGTTTTTTCCGATCCGTTTCTGTTTTCCTGCATTGTATATTACGATCAACCTCTTCTGCGGGTAGAAAGCTTGGAAATTATGGATGGCATGTCGATGTGAAATTTTTCGTTGGAAGATAGTTCTTTATAAGTTGTCTATTATAGTTTGGAATCTGGAGAATGATTCACTACGTTTTTGTATGGCATTCTAGTTGATATATTACTGCTGCCCCTCGTCAGCCAGTGGGAATAACCTGTGGATCATTTCGTTTCTGTACCTTTTGAGTTTTCAGACGGTTTACGGTATAAGGAGCGATACCGTAAACATTAATTGGTTTTACGTATTCCATCAAATTAAATCTTTCTTTCTTTCTAAAGTTTGCCTATGTATCACTCAATGCCAGCCTGAGTTGTTGAGCATGGGCTAAATTAGATATGTTTCGTTGGTCTGTAAGGTAACTGAACCTAATGCCTGGAACCGTTAACAATGAGCACAAAGAGGTGTTACCAACAATTGCAACTATAGGAACATTGAGCGGGACAGACGAGATTGGTCTTCTCCCACTAAGAAACGAAGAACACAAACTGTAGGAGACAACTACCGTAGACTTTTTTCTTCTTTTTTTGGGTACTCTACCCACCATCCACATGAAAATATTGACTTTGCTAGGACTATTCGACTTACTGACAAGATTTGATCCAAATCTGGTACATAGGACAATTAGAAATTGCTTTTGCCAGGTATTTGACTGAAATTTTGTTTGATGAATCATCTTCTAGATTCTTCAATTTTCTATTGAGACCAAAGACCCACTATTCAACTAGACATCTAAACTCTTAAATTGTATCCTCTAGCTGATTTCATCTTGGGTTCTCTAAGAACTAGAGTCCATGTTCGAAGCAAAAGATAAAACATATTTTCTGTTGTGTCACTGAGACCAACTGCAAAATTTCAAATGTAAAGATTGACTGCTCAATCAATTATCCTTCCAAAATAGTACACCCTCTCATTCACACTCCAACCCCTTTTTGCAGAAAATTTCTCTATACAATTCTACATTTTTTAGATATCCTACCAAGGACCCACTACTTTTTCCCCCTTGGTTCTTTATCATAACCTGCTTCATTGAATTCATTAAGCATTAAACTCAAGTCTAACACGTATTTGGACTAACATGAGCATAACTCAATTGAGTAAGACATATATTCAACTAAAAGGTAAGACGTACAAATTTGCATCGCCACATGTTGTTTAACTCAATAAAGGCTAGCATGTATTGGTTGTTAATGTATGTCAAGCTTTACGCTGATTACATGAGTTGCATTTTGTTTGTTTTATTTATGTTGCATAGGTCTATTGTATTCTTTTCTTGCAGCAGTTGATTTACTTGCTACGTGTATAATCATAATTTATGTTACTTGAAGTTTATGCTAACTACATATTTCAGCTACATGCATTGAACTTTATGTCATTCTCAGTTACTCCATGATCTTTGAAATTTCCATTTTGCAGCTCTGAAACACATTAATTTTTGTTTTAGTGTATGGTTATTGCTTCTGCTTAGGATAAATCAGATGGTGAGTCCGCCTTATGGTTCGTAATAATGATTATCTTTTTCAAATTTTTATAGGTTGCATCACCACCAAGGAACTGGGGACTGTAATGCGGTCACTGGGCCAGAACCCAACAGAAGCTGAGTTACAAGACATGATCAATGAAGTTGATGCTGATGGAAATGGAACCATCGATTTTCCTGAGTTTCTTAATCTGATGGCTAGAAAAATGAAGGATACCGATTCAGAGGAGGAGCTTAAAGAAGCTTTCCGTGTGTTTGATAAAGATCAGAATGGGTTCATTTCTGCAGCCGAGCTCCGGCATGTAATGACAAATCTCGGTGAGAAGTTGACAGACGAGGAAGTTGATGAAATGATTCGTGAGGCAGACGTGGATGGCGATGGGCAAATCAACTATGAGGAGTTTGTCAAAGTCATGATGGCCAAGTGAGAATCAATCAACTGAAACCTTAAACCTCCTTAATCTGCTTGAAAAGGAAGAGGGATATGGGCAGATAAGTTGATGATATGACATTTTGTTTTACTATCTATTTTTGGGTGTCTCTCGTTTCCATTATTTGCGGTACTGTCTCTCAGTATCCTGTTTTTTTTTTGCTGCAATGATTTCTGTAGTTTGGCATGGCTGTTCGTGTCGGTAGTTTCTTTAATTTTTAAAATTTCTTTCTACATATAATGCTATGAACCTAGAACAATTGGTTGATCGAATCAGAAGATTTTGGTTGTGGGAAAGTTATAGCTGTCTTTAGTTGTTCCCAAACTTCACATCCTTTTTTCTTCTTTTTGGTGATGAACTTGCCTTTGCCTGAGAATAATTTTGTTTCACTGATCCTTTATATGCTAAATTGAGTTCGGATGAGTAGGAGTGTAGTTGATTGATAGGTAAGGATGTGTAATAATATGTTCAAACTTTGGGCTTCCGGGAGAGAGGAATGTAAAAGTTAGAAGGTATTAGGACTTAGGAAGCCAGATGATTTAGTCCGAGGATGGGTTAATAAAGAAGAGTTAAGAGTACAGGAAGAAAGTAAATATGTGTGTGTGTGTGTGTCTGTGTGTGTGTGTGTCTGTGTGTGTGCGTGTTTGTGTGTTTAAGTAATAAAATAGAAGAGCCTTGTGTTGTGGGTAATATGTTTGCATTTGTGTGTTGTTTTGTTGTTATTGATATGGATAGACGGGCGGACGCGATGCTGCAAGGGAGCGGCAGCAGGAAGAAGAGGAAATCCATGATACTCTCCAACCATAAGAAAACACGTGGCCTCCTCAAGTGTCGCATCCACCCATGTTCTGTGCTTTAGTTACCAGCTTCTTCTAACTCAATTCACTTCATTCTTTTACTTTTCTTTTAATTATTAATACTAATCAATTACTGACTATTTTGCGTCTTCCACTCTTCTTTAAATATATCACACATTCGACAAGAATATACTTTCTTTCTTTACTCTTATGACATAACATAAATCATTATTTACTAAGTAGTAGTAGTAGTAGCAGCAGCAGTGATGATGATAATAATAATAATAATAATAATAATAATCTTATGAAGTAAAACAAAGAAAACTCATATTTTGAGCACGACGGAAATTACAGCCACCATCTCATCAATCATCATGTCGTCGTCGTCTCTTCTCCTCAAAACCTCCCTCATTTCCCTTACTTTCTTCCAAATGTCTTCCCTGGTTTTCTCGACCACCACTTGTTTGATCAAGCTGGCCACTTGGTCTCTCTGAATTTTGCCGTCGGCATCCCGCTTGGCCTCCACCCCAATCCCAGCTTCTTCCAGAAGTCCGGCGTTATAGGGCTGGTCCAGATGCATGGGAGCTCCTATTACGGGTACCCCAAACCTTATGCTCTCCAGTACCGAATTCCACCCACAGTGACTCACAAATCCCCCAATGCTCCCATGTTTCAATATCTTCCCCTGAGGCGCCCATTTTTTCACCACCATCGCCCTCTCTCCCGCTCTCTCCACAAACCCCTTTGGCAATGCCTCTTCAATCCCCCTACTACTACTCTCTTCTCCTTTCGGAAACCTGACCACCCATATGAAGTTAGCCTCACTCTCCTCTAACCCATGTGCTATCTCTTCCATTTCTTCCTTCGGCGGGAAGTATTCGCTTCCAAATGACACCAAAACGGTCGACAATGCTTCCTTTTCATCCAGCCACTTTTTTATCCTCCAATACTCTTCATCTTCCTCGCCCTCACTCGGTTCGTACACCAAAGGACCAACCGACACAACTTTCTTCTTCAAGAGAACGGACAGATAATCCATATATTCCCCCTCCAGCTCTCTGAAGCTATTCACAAGAACTACATCGCAAGAAGCATTCAAGCAATACAGAAAGGCTTCTACACCTCTGCGGGTTTTTTCTGAAGTGGCTCCATCGGCGGTGGTGTACTTGGCTTTCCAATAATCGTGGAGAACAAAATCAGAGAATGGGAATTTAGAATCCGGGTAGTGAACGGAGTGAAGGGCATGGGCAATGATGGAAACTGCGGTGGTATTGAAGTTAATGGCCGGAATATTGAGGGAGGAAGCAATTCGAGGAGCCCAAGGCTGGAGAGAGTCATAAATGAGGAGATGCGGAGAAAGTGTTTGTAAAATTGCCTCGAAGTGTTGTGCAGCCGCTGAGAAGGCTTGGTGAAGAGTGGGTTTAAGGTGAGAGGGGAGGCCGTTGGTTGTGTGAAGATGGGGAGGAAGTTCAGGGGAGGAAGGGAGATGGAGGTCCACAAATTGGATGGAAGGAGGAGGAGGGATTAGGTTTGGTTTAATGGAGTCAAGGTTAACAGGGGTTGAACAGAAGTAGACGTGGAAGTTCCTCCTTGAGAGAGCTTTGGCCAGCTCCAAATAAGCAGAGAGATGACCATAGCCGATCCATGGAAGCATCAGTACGGTTGTGGGGGGGGTGTCTACTGCTTTCTGGGCATCCATGGCTATGTTAGCCGATGACAACAATAACTTTGTTATACGAATGGACCGGACAAGAACAAGAAACAAGAAACAAGAAATAAGAAAAGGGACGGCACGGAGTATATTATTCGATTATTTTACAATTCTTGTGAACTCCGAGGCGTCGATGGAAGCAAGGTGAGATATGTGTCTCGTTTTTTGCGTAAAAAATGTCATAAGCCGCATCTGATGAACGATGAAGTGTTTCTTCCAGGTTTACACACCACAACAGAGGCTTGCCAAATTGCTTGTAAATGGTCTTTCACAAGTTCCAAGGTGGGCAGCCTTATTATTGCAAACACGTGAATCCGGGGATGCAAGGAGTTTGCATCTTGATTCTTGGCAACACAAAACCCTCCAAAATTATCCCAACTCCTCCATTGCTATTTCTAACCATTTTGCATCCTCCATGTCTTTTATTCTTATACCTGCAAAAATAACAACACTAATAGTGTTGCTTCTACTTCATCCTCACTCTTCCCCAATCCCTCCAATTCTCTCACTCTCTCCACATCCCAAATCCCAAATCCTCGTAACTGCATCAAAATACCTTCGGTGCTTATGCAGCTTTCATTGATTCCATGACTGCGAGCCCTTCGGTCTTACCCAACTCTTCAATTATTAACAAAATTTCAAGTAATTTCTCTGTTACAACACCTTCGGTCTAACCATTTCGCTCACGATACCCCGTAAAAGCGCTGCTTTCTTCAGGCAGAGGTCCTTGTCCGGGAGGGGAAAAACCGCGAGAACTCTCTTCAGCAGATCCTCCATTGGAGTTCGGAGTAAGAATTCAGTAATCCAACCGAAAATGTCCTCGGTCACGGTGAACACAGGATGGGAAGAAGAAAAGAAGGAAGGNGGGGGGGGGGGGGGAGGAAATCTAAATGACAAATAAAAAAAGAGAACACAGAACGGGAGCTTCGATTTCAAGAGAATAGAGATTTACTTCAATGTTAGACGGAAGAAGCTGGCGGAGAAGAGAAGACGCGATGATGATAAAGCTAAAGACCGACCGTCACTAGAGAATGGAGATGGCAGACAAAACAATTTTTGAATTCGCACAGGTGCTTTCATCAACCCAACTTTGAGAAAAAGTAGACAAATAAAATTGCAGAGATTACTAGAGAAAAGAAAATACCAATGCACAGCCCAAATTTTAGATTGTAGATCTCCTAAAGCCAGGTCATTTTTCAGTTCGTCGCAGTTGCCGGAATCAATGGAACCTTGAATTGCCGGCGAGAACTCTGAATAGATATTTGATTCTTGCGCGCATTGGGGCGGTGGTGACGCTTGAGGGCTGTATGTATGATTTGGGGGAACTTTTTGTAGAAGGTAAAGCACCAAGGGCCTTATATTTTGTTTTTTTTTTTTTTTTTTTTTTTTATCAGTTTTGATTTGTGAAACAATTTAAACCCTAAGATCATTATTTATTACCCTTTAGCATTGCCCTTTATAACCATTGTATTTTAATATATAATAATTTAGTTACAACTGAAAAAAAATTCATCAAAATTAAATGTATCAACCTAGGCTTAGGCTTTGTAACTCGTAAATCCATTGAACTTCATTAGTTTATGAATCTGTATAGGTATAGATAAGAGATTACAATAAATGTTTAAAATTGAAATACAAAACTAATCACCAAAATTTATAAACTAAATCGTTATTTTCTAAAAATTTGACTTCACTTTTATGCAGTAAGCAATTCAAATAGTTATTTTGTATTTTGGTGAATTTCAAAAAGTGGTTTTGTGTGTTTGATGGTTTTGAGTGATGGAAGAAAGGAAATGAAAAATGAGAGTGGTGAAGAGAGTGGAAGGGGTTAGAAGATTTAGGGGGAAGTATCTTAGATTTTCTGAAAATATATGGTTTTAGCATGAATTTCTTTTTTATCATTTGTGAAAGAGAAATTCTTAACCATATAATTGAATATATCATGTATGTGGAGAGAAAAAAAAGGAGGAAGAAGTCCAAAGAAAAAATAAAAAAAAATAAAAAAAAAAAGAAAGAAAGAAAGAAAGAACGAAAGAAAGAAAAAATCTTTGATCATCATGGATCCCATTGTGTGATTATAGAACCCTAAAAAATTCCTTGAACCAAAATTTGTACCGTTAGGTTTCTCTCTGAGAAGGTGTCCTCCAGAAGCCAGTACCATAAAATTGGTCCCACATCTCCTTCTCCAATTCCACATCCTCCGATGACAAATACGACGACGGAAGCGATTCTCCCCAATCCTCCTTTTCACCATCATGTTTCGGCCCCTCCTTACCTACAGTTGCACCGCCCGCCGCCGCCTTGTTTCTCTTCGTGATGTGACGTCGTTTTCCCCTCTTATTCCACGCCTTTTTGCAGAGCCCCACTGGAACCTTGTAGACGGTCAATATCAGAAGGTTCATCATGCTGCATGGAAAGCAACAGCATATTGCCGCGCACTCCGCGGCCGTTCCGCCGGCCACCTCCGCGAACCGCGGCTTTTCCTTAAGTCTGTTGGGCGACTTGTCTGTCAGTAGTGGTTGCTGGCGAGTCTCTGGCGGGGATCGGAGGAGGACGTTCTGATTCATAGTGAGTTGAGCAGGTCCAATGGATTAATTGACGTAAAGAAAGCGTTTAGGATGAGAGTATTCAGCGGAAAGGGAAATGAGAAAGAAAGAAAGAACGAAGAGGATAGCGGTGTTGAGAATGAGAGAGAGAGAGAGAGAAAGAGAGACGAGGATGCGATGAATCGGAAGGAGAAGTATTTGTTGTAATTTATATGGGAAGCTAAGTTTAGGAGTCCTTAATGAAATTCAAACGCCAGACGTGTCTTCCACCCACCACTCGATCTTCCAAACAAGCTCTTATTTTCTCTCTTTAATGGAAGACATCATTTAATAAACAAATGAAAATAAGGACAAAACTGAAGGTCGTTGGTTTTATGAGAGTGATTTGGTTGGAGATAATATAGAAGGGGAGGGATGGGTGTGGCCTTCGAGCTCTTCAACTTCGTAATTTATATATATTTATATATATATACAATTTGAATAATAATGTGTGGAGCAATTCCGTGTCCATGCTCGCTCCTCCACCCACCCATCATTTTGTCTTTTTTCTCGGCTTCCCTCATTTTCTTCTATACAAATTCCACCGCTCTCTCTCCCTCTCCCTCTCCCTCTCCCTCTCCCTCTCCCCTCCTAATATATTCTAATAATATCAGAATCACATACACGATGATTCTTTTGTCCACTACCTTATACGTGCCTAAATAAACTATAAAAAAAGAGTCCATTTTTGGTGTTCCAAGAATTGCCCAAACCTTTATCCATTCGAGGGGGCCTTGCCCAAAATAAACTATCAAATTCATAAATCATAACTAATCCCAGTAGCTTTATCCATTCGAGAGGGGGGACGGGGGAACAAAATTGTTAATATTTTCATAATTCTACTGCAGACAGGGGGGGGGTGGTGTGGCGGCAAGGGCTAATCTCAACCGCCTATAACTCCTAACCGATGAAGAATTACTGCCAGTATCAGCATGCAAATTGCCAAAATCATACCAGGACGTCCCAGTAACCAACTCTTTGCCTTCTTTCCACCTTCAACGCCTCTTTGAACCTTATCTGCCCAACGCATCTGCAATCATCATTTCAGGTAAACCAGTTAGCAAATCAGAACCATAGAGAACACAGAAGAATTCCTTCCGAGAATAACAGAAGCCAACGCAAAAACTACCATTTTATCCAAATCCTCGGGTGAGAAAGATGACATAGCTTCCTGAGCTTTTGCTGCATCCTCGGGCGAAAGCTTCAGACCGAATTGTTCGCTCATACTTGCCATCGCCTCTGGACTCATATTCTTAATCATTGATGTGAACATCTAACAGATTGCACAAAACCAGTAATTAAGAGCGAGAAAAGTATATCTATAAACTCTCAAGGGAACATTGAAGCTTCTAACAGCACGTACTATATATACAACAAAGGCAACTAGGTAATCTTATCACATCCGACAAAATTCACTCTATTTTTATTCAAAGATAAAGGCTCATTGTTTGAAGAGAAGGCAAGGCAGATAAAACTTGACTTAATTTTAACAAGAATAAACGAGAGACCTCTCCAATAATTCTCACAGTGGTACGACAGTGGCCATAAGCCCTCATAAATTTGCTTTTGATTTCACCCAAAATGCATCGGAGATGTTATCCCTTACAAATGTATTCATCATCCTCCGCTGACTAACCAACGTAGGACTTCAGTCATATTTTAAAACTTAAATTCCCTCCTCCCTATTCCCCTGTAAAAACCAAAGAGAACACAGGAACCTCATTCAAAGCCTCCTCTTCCTAGGGCAATTGGCTATTCATTATTATATGGAACATACGGAGGGAAATCTGCAACTGCGACGCACTTTGAAGTAAATGCGTCACCTCATGGCCACCATGCGGGCAAGGGTGGCACACAATGCCTTGAGCATCACCAAAAGTGAGAGAGCATCTCACCTCGCCTTAAAAAAAAAATACTAGAACATGTGTGACTCCATGCATCATGGTCAAACGCATCAAAAAGTTAAAAAAAAAAAAAAAAGAAAAGAAAAAACAACTTCTAAAGGATTCTATTCACTCATTATATCGCTTATAGTAAGATTTACAAACCTGCTGCATGGCTGGATTTTTCATTTGATTTCTCACTTGTTCTTGCATATCAGCAGAAGACGTTGGAATAGTTGAGTTAGAAGAACTTCTTCCTAAATTTGAAAACGCTCCATAAGAACTAGTGTTGTTCATAGTACTACTTCCACTGATACTGGATTGTTCACTCTCGAAAGATTTTGATCGAGTATCAGAATCTGGTATATTGTCATTTCCAGAAGCAGAGTCATTCCTCTTCAAAGACGATGCAGTTTCAAACATCCTTTGTAGGTCTTCAGGTGGCATATTACTCATTATACGACCTGCTGAACTGAGTAACTCGGGAGTCATGTTTGCACTATCTAAATTTAGACCTAAACCGTCGCCCTTAAGGGGGTTCGCCTCTTGGAAAGAAGAAGCCAATTTAAGTATTTCTTGAAGCTCATTTGGAGACATCTTGCTGATCATATTTGAGGCCGTGGCAACCATGTCTGGAGATATCTCTCCAGGTTTTCCAATGCTCAAAGCAGCTATAGTATCGGGATCAGCATTTGAAACAAATCTCTGAAATGATCTACAAAAAAAAAAAAAA